GAGCTGTTCCAGGCCTGGCTGCTCCAGGCCCGGCCTCTGTTGCTCTGGTCCGCTCCACAACCAGCTACTCCGGGTCTGGCCACTGCCGCTCCCGACCTGGCTGCTCCGGGCGTGGCTGCTGCTGCTCCGGGCCTGGCCGCACCCGACCTGGCTGCTCTGGGCCCATAGTTGGTCCTTTTTCATATCCTCAAGGGTCTAGTTAAATTTATTGGCCTTTTTCTAGGAAATTCTTGAAAAATCTTATAACCGTGGTTTTGAACTCTATATCCAGTCGTTTGTTTTCCTCCATTTCTTTCATTTGTGATCTATTTATTTGTCTCCACATTTTCGCTGCTTTCCTGAGTTGGTAAGGTGGCTTTGTGTGCTAGGTGTCCTATACGGGCCAGTGGATCGGCCTTCCAGTTACCTGAGGTGGACACTCCTGGTGTATTCCTTTGTGGATTGCATGTACAGCCTTGTTGTAGGTAAGTCTTGATTGTTGTTGGTGTCACTGGGAGGAATTGACCTTCAGGCCAATTGGCTGTGAGAACCCATTTTGTCTATAATGGAAGAACTGCTGCGCTGGACACACGCTTATGAGGCAGGACTTGCTTCAGTGGGGCTTTGGTGCTCACTGAGTCTGCCTTTTGAATGTGTCACTTATGGATGTGAGTAGTTGAAATGTGGTGTTGTCTCACACTGACCAATAGATACACTAGCTTCTGGATCTCCAATGTGGTGCAGGTCAGCTGAGGCCACCCAGCAGGAGCTACAGCAAGAACTACAGTTTTCTCCTCTTTTCTTGGGGTTTGGAGGTTTTGGAGCTGTCATTCCAGAGCTGCAGTTTGTTAGGTTCAGCTGCGATGGGGCAGGCCATTTATATGCAAAAGTTGCTGTGTGGAGCTTGGGTGGGTTTGTAGATTGTGCAGGGTGGTGTCTCAGAGAGACACTAGGCTAAAACGTGGCAAAGAGCGATGGCTGCCAGTCAGCCATCTCTGGGTCTCCGTGTTTCCAAGTCCCCGTGTCCCGCGTCCCAGAGCAATAAACAGTGATTGCTGTGCACATCTCTGTAAGAAAGTCACCATCACTTTCCGACTCGATGGCAGACAGTCCAGCTTCTCCGTGTAGGAGTTTAGGTCCCCAGTGTCTCCCCAGAAACTGGAGCTCAGAATAATCGGGAGCTTGTCTCCCTTTGTTTTGAAAAATAGCAGCACACCAAGTTGCCCACCACCAGCCCCATTCGTGCGCCTCCATACCTCAGCTTTTCAGTGCTTGTACACGTCTCAATGCAGGTGATAAACATTTTGTCTTTTAGTTGTAGTTTTGAAATTGTTGGGCAAGGCAGCAGTTTAGGTTTTTATTTATGCCGCCAAATTGGTTTCTCCTCCAAGGGTTGTTTTAAAGATCAAATGAGATAATGTACACAAGCACATAGCCCAGTGCCTGGACTAAAATATTACTAATTTTTCTTTTTACTAAGAAAGACATTAAGCATATTACTTCAAGAGAATTACAAAGGGTTTCTAAAAGAAGGCTAAATCATTCAATGAAAGAGAAATACCACATGACCTCACTCATTTATGAATATTAAAGAATATTATAAACTGATGAACCAAAAGATAGATGAACCAAAAGACAGAAAGCAACAAGCAGACTGTCAAATTACATCGGGGAGGGTAGGGACATCTAGGGGAGATAAGAGATCAACCGAAGGACTTGTATTCAAGCATTTAAGTACAACCAATGTACACAAAACTCTGGGGAGGGAAGGTTTGTAAGGAGGGGCAATGTTAAAATATGTACACAGATAATAATTTAATTTAAAAAAAATTAGCCTAGAATTAAATAAATAAATAAATAAATAAATAAATAAAGGCTAAATAAATGACAGTGGTTCTAGGTGAGCTCTCCCTTCCAGGATCCTGTGCCATTCTCTTTTCACACTTATTCCCTATAAGCATGCATCCTCTAAACCACATGTGTCAAACACAAGGCCCGAGGGCCAAATCCGTCCCGCCAGGCCTTGCAATGTGGCCCGCACCGCGCTGTCATCACTGCACTCCGCTGCGTTTCCATCACAATGACAGTTTATGACTGTTCCGTAAACCATTCGGCCCGCGATTTAGGCTGGATTTTAGATTTTGGCCCCTTCTCTGATTGAGTTCGACACCCCTACTCTAAACTCTAAGAGATCCCAGGAGGCTTGCAACCAGGGAGTAATGGGCAGCAGCATCTTGTCCTGGGCTAACCTGCTGACCCTGACCCCAAGACTCCCTTTCTAAAATTTAAAAAAAAAAATTATATTAAATCTTTAAAAGACTGGTTATAGACCTGGTTGGTTGCTAAGTGGTTAGAGCACTGGCCCACAAATTAAATCACAGGTTTGATTCTGGTTAAGGGCATATACCTAGGTTGAAGGCTCCATCCCTAGCCCCAGGCAGAGAACATACAGGAGGCAACCAATTGAGGTCTCCCTCTCTCTCACATCAATGTTTTTCTTTCTGTATCCCCCCTTCCCTTCCACTCTCTCTAAAAAGCAATGGGAAAAAATATCTTTGGGTGAGGATTAACAACAACAAAAAGACAGTGGTTCTAAAACCTTGCTACACACAATAAAATTATCTAATAAGCTTTAACAAAAAATGATTAATAGAATCCTAATAAGAAAAAGGCCCAAGAGAAAAATCAATCTAGACACTTAACAGGTAAATCAGTCTCACATGTCAATGTGTCCGTGTGTCTTACACACATCACACACAGAATAACTACATCACAGATATCCAAGTTTACAAGTCAGGAAAATACAAATTAAAACAAAATAGCGCCGAAACCAGCGTGGCTCAGTGGATAGAGCTTCGGACTGCGGACTGAAAGGTCCCCGGTTCGATTCCGGTCAAGGGCATGTAAGCGGGTCTAGTAATAATTAATGTCGTTTTTAAACATTCGTTTAAAATCTTGCTTGGTGTTGACTTGTATTGACATAACCTTCAAACACGTGGTATCTACAGAACGTGTGAAGTGCAATTAACAAGTTTTGCTTGAAAAAGTTTGTGTTTGGTTTGGTTTTTGTTGCAAAACTAGGGCTAAGAAGATGGCAGATGAAGAGCATATTCGGCACTGCATACTTTACGAGTTCCAATTAGGAAGAACAGCAAGTGAGGCTGCAAAAAACATCTGTAGTGCTCTTGGTCAAGATGCAGTTAGCGCCAGAAAATGCCAGCGTTGGTTTGAGAAATTTCGCGAGGGAAATTTTTTGTTAGATGACAAGAGTGGTTGAGGCCGTGTGTCCAATTTTGATCAAGAAGCTCTTCAAGCTCTTTTGGTGCAAAATCCTCAAATTACCCAACAAGAGCTTGCGACAACTTTAAATTGTTCACAAAAAACAATTTCCAATCAATTGCGTGCACTTGGCAAAGTCCAAAAGTTTGGAAAATGGGTTCCTCATGAGTTGACCGACAACAACCGTAATCAAAGAGTCACAATTTGCAGTTCACTCCTTTCTCGTCAAAACCGTTTGCCGTTTTTAGAGCAAATTGTTACCAGAAATGAAAAATGGGTGCTGTATGTTAATTTGAAAAGGCAGCCTCAATGGTTGGACAAAAATGAGGCTCCGCAGCCCACGCCAAAACCTGACTTGCATGCGAAAAAAGTGATGTTGTGTGTTTGGTGGAATTTTAAGGAATTCTTCATTATGAACTTTTACCATCTAACCAAACCATTACAAGTGCAGTGTATAGTGCCCAATTGGAAAGGTTAGCCCAAGCTTTAAGAGAAAAAGAACCCGCGCTGATTAATCGGAAGGGTGTAATTCTTCACCACGATAACACACCACCGCATACTGCAAGAATCACTGCTGAAAAACTGCGCCAGTTGGAATGGGAAGTTCTCCCTCAACCTGCATATTCTCCTGATATTGCCCCTTCTGATTACCATTTGTTTTGTTCTTTGCAAAACTTTCTTCTTGGAAAAAAATTTAATAATGAAGAATGCCTCAAAAATGCATTGACCGAATTTTTTGCATCAAAATCACAAGAATTTTACAATAGAGGGATTAAAATGCTTCCTGAGCATTGGGCACAAGTAGTAGAAGACAACGGCAACTATATTGTTGATTAAATTTTGTTGTATTGTTTAAATAAATTCGATTTAAAAAAAGTATTAGAAAACGACATTAATTATTACTAGACCTAATACCTTGGTTTCGGGCACATCCCCAGTGGGGGGTGAACAGGGGGCAGCTGGTTGATGTTTCTCTCTCATCGACGTTTCTAACTCTCTATCCCTCTCAATTCATCTGTGTAAAATCAATAAAAATATTTTTAAAAAATTTAATTTGCATAAAAGCTCCATGTAAATGAATATGTATATAAGTCCTGAAAAGAGTCTGCAAGTTCAGAGCCTACACAGGTCACAGAGGCCTCCCAGAAGAGAGGAAGTGGGGCTGGAGAGGAATGCAATGAACTTTTTTTTTTTTTTTAATGCTCCATGACCCTACATGCTATTACCCTTAACAGTTATTATTTTAAAATATATTTTTATTGATTTCAGAAAGGAAAGGAGAGGGAGACAGAGATAGAAACATCAATGATGAGAAAGAATCATTGATCGGCTGCCTCCTACACACCCCACACTGAGGATAGAGTACACAACCCGAGCATGCACCTGACTGGGACTTGAACATTGGTCTCCTCTTTCATAGGTTGACCCTCAACCACTGGGACACACAGGCCGGGAAGTTATTACTTTCTGTAAGTGAAAAAGAAAAAGAAAAAAGGAAGCTAAAAAGCATAGAGTTCAGACCCTACTCTAACCCCCTTAATTGCAGCCGCTGTAGGTGGAGTTGCCCAGAGAATTCTGCTTATGACCAGGTTTGACACACATGGACTCAGAAAAATCTCCTGAAGAAAAAAGAGACCCTTGAGATCGCTTCGCACTTCTCAAGAGGAATTAATCTCATAGATACATCAGATACTCAGTTAAGTGTTTCACCAATGAGTTACTGTATTAGAAGATGTACTTACACAATTTTAGCACTGTCTTCACAAAAGTCAAAGTGTAATGTAACAGGTTTTGTGCAATACAGTCTGAATTTTTTCGCTCTGTAGGGAAGCTGCATAAAAGTTTCTACTGCAACTCGGATGCTTTAACAGTGAAACAGAAATAGTTCAATTATAAAGAAAATTATATGTAATATTTCTTTAAAGTACACAAATATAATTAATGCACAACATAAAAACAAAACACACAAAAAAACATTATTTTTGTTTCTAATATAGCCACTAACAGCAAGAAATACTTAGAGACATTTGCCAAAGGTGACGAACACCGGTTCTTGAGCAGGGGAGAGGAGGGATCGCACTTTTTTTATGTATAAAGTGCAGATATACATGCAGTACATACACAGGTATTCAGTATAACTGATGTTAAAATTTCTTTTTTAAAAAAATATATTTTATTGATTTTTTTACAGAGAAGGAGAGAGAGAGAGAGCTAGAAATGTCGATGAGAGAGAAACATTGACTAGCTGCCTCTTGCACACCCCACTACCAGGGATGTGCCCACAACCAAGGTACATGCCCTTGACCAGAATCGAACCCAGGACCTTTCAGTCCGCAGATCGACGCTCTACCACTGAGTCAAACCGGTTTCGGCTGATGTTAAAATTTCATGGCATGGCCCGACTTAGTGGATTGAGCATTTTCCCAGTGACCAAGAGGTCGCTAGTTTGATTCCAGGTCAGGACACATTGTGGGCTCAATCCCCAGTAGACATGCTGGAAGCAGCTCATCGATGTTTCTCTCATCAGTGTTTCTATCTCTCTCTCTCTCCCTCTCCTTTCCTCTTTGTAAAATCAATAAAAACATATACTTTTTAAAATTTCATGGCATGGGAGTGGGGAGGGATTATAAAAATGTCTTGTGAGGTTCTTAGGTTGAAAAATAATGATCAAACTTGGGAGCAAATTTTATTTAAGATTTTTAAGTATCAGCCCTGGTCAGTGGTTCAGTTGGTTGAGCTTCATCCTAATATGCCAAGGTTGCAGGTTTGATCCCTGGTCAGAAAACATACAAGAGTGCACCAATGAATGTATCAATAAGTGGAACAATAAATCAATGTGTTCTCTCTCCCCCTCTCTCTCCCTCCCCCCCCCCCCTCTCTCTCTCTCTCTCTCTCTCTCTCTCTCTCTCTCTCTCTCGTCAATAAATTAAAAAATTTTTTAAAGATTTGAAGATATTTAAGTTTCAATTTCAATACACAACCAGAAATACCTTAAAGTTTCTATAAATGAGATGTTTTCATAGATAAGTGTTTGTCAACTCTGCACAAAAGAGCTGAAAGGACTGAGATTTGATAAGTTGCTCAACATTTTTTCTTTACCTTCTTCCAGGTAAATGACAGGCTTGAAAACACCATTTCATCACACCCTGGTTATGAAGATACCGCATGGACAGGCTAGGCACCTTCTGTCACAGTTCAGAAAACAGTGGTGGCATTAACTGCCCCTCAAGGCCTCCTTGTGCTCTATTTAATCATATGATTCTCTTGCCCAAAACAAACTAAACTTAACATTCCAAACACTAAAAAAAAAACATCCCCCAAAAGTTCAACACAACAGGTGTGTGTGTTTTTAACAATTATAGTTATAAAGTTGCAAACCACAAGCTAGAGATGCATCCTTTTTTAAAAAGTATCTACAAATTCCCAATGTCTGATACCCCCTTCTGCCATGGCATTCTTAAGAAAATTTAATCATATAAACCTCTTATTGCAATTAAAATCTATTTGGTGCTACTCTTTTGGAAGAAGAGTCCTCATATTTATTAAACTGATATCCTCTTAATCTGGGATGGGAAACCATGGAAAAATTACCACACACACTTACGGACAATATTTTCTCATGAACTGTGACATGTGGCAGGGGCACCTAAGAGATGCAGAGCACCTGTGCTTTCTAGGAAAGGAGGTGGGAGGAGGCTGGAGCTGCCTGCTAAGACTTCATTCTGACTACTTGCTCCGACACTCACTGCCATGCAGAAGTGAACGGAACCTGAAGTCTTGAAGAAGGCTTCCCTTATTGAAGAAGGGGGGGAAGCAAAAAACCTCCAGCTTATGACCTCTATCCCCTTACTTTGAACATTGGCACACTCCTTTAAAACTGGCATTTATCTTCTTAAAAAGCATAAGGCAAAAAAAGTCATACGTACTTTTTCGATTTCACTGGAATGTACTTGGCAAAATCCACAAGGAAGCATTCTGCCAGGTAATGGTCTGCTGAACATACAATTGACTTAATGACAGCCCTGCACCAGCACTTGAGTTCCTGACAATAAACCACACAAACCTACAAAATGAAAACTTCAGTGTTAACATCTCTAGCCACTTAATGGGATCCTAAAAGGTACTCTCAAAATCATCTCAGCCTTCATTTCACCTTTAAGAAGAGGAAAGAGATTCAAGGGGGCTGACCCTGCCTAAGCTGGATACTGCTTATCAGTGAAAGAATTTCATTAAACACAGGACACTGAATTCTAGCTCATTATTTTTCTTACAACAATGCTTTTGACTGTTTACATGACAATTTAAAGAAAGGTTTCTTAAATCAAAGCTTAAGAAATGAAACCTCAACCCCAGGTCATCTTCCCCATTTACCTCCCGTGGCTTTTACTGCCTACTGACACCTGTTTACTACCTAACACACCTGTACGTCAGCTCTGTGATGTGGATTTTTTGTCTGTTTTGTTTATTGCCATACCCCCAACACCTAGAACAGTGTTTGGCCTGTACTAAAGTCTTCAAAAACGACTTGTTGAATGGCATAGTTGATTGGAGCATTACCCCATACATCAAAAGGTGGCAGAGTGTATAAGGGAGGCAACCAATAGAATTTTTTCTCTCTCTCTTCCTGTCTCCCTTCGTTTCCTCCCTCCCTTCCTCTCCCTAAAAATCAATTTTAGCTTGGCTGGTGTGGTTCAATAGTTGAGCGTCAACCTATTAACCAGGAGGTCATGGTTTGATACCCAAGTTGTGAGCTCATCCCCAGTGTGGGGCATGCAGGAGGCAGCCAATCAATGATTCTCTCTCATCATTGATGCTTCTATCTTCTTCTCCTTTCTTCTTTGAAATCAATAACATTTTTTAAAAATAAAAATCAATTTTAAAAAATATCCTTGGGTGAAGATTAAAATAATAAATTTTAAAAAAAAAATTTCTGTAGTCCCCTTTTAGGGAAACTACCCTGCTGAATTGACAGGCCTGGGCATCCCGGCTGTCCCACAAGACTGCCAGGCCACAAGTGACTCAACGGCAATCCTCAGACCGGCAAACCAAATACAAAGTGGCCCAGTGAGGACAGCTGTGCCCAGCAAGGAAGTAGGCCAACTGAGAATCTACCCTTAGGAATTAAAGTTGGAAAATATACTGCAGCCATTCTGCAAAACTCAAATAATTCAAGACTTATTCTGCCAAAGGATGGAGGTTACTTCTGTTTAATTCTTATGTCAAAGTAACTTGTAGGAATGGTATGAATAGGTACTAATTCACATAGCCAGTTAACTTTGAAGTTGTGGTATATTAGGGTTTCCACTAGCCAAAAATGGAATAAATTAAGCATCAAAAACAATGATTATAACTGATTAATGTATAAAAAGCCATGAATTCAAAAGAGTACTTAAAAAATAAAAAAGAGAAGCAAAACACCCTGTGGACACCAATGTAGATAACTAGGCATAAATCACTATGCGTTCCTAACTTTCCAGGAAAAACTGTATTATGTCAGGGTAGCCGAACAATCCTAACACGAGGGAACATTATCTACAGAAGAACTGCAGCTCGTGAACACAGAAGGAATGTGAAAACAACCAATTTGCAAGCTTAAGTGAAAGGACTGATTGGGGCTTTGGTAATCACTGGATGGTACAACCATGACATGTAAAGTTGATGGCACCACCAACAGGGAGCACACAGGCTGTTGCCATCTAAATCCACTGGTCAATCTTAGCATCATCAAAAGTGATATTATCTCCCAATCCAATCCAAGATGATGCTTATAGTACCAATCGTTCCAGGGGGCCGGGGGCAAGTGACCCTAAATCTAATCAAAGCTTTAACTACTGGACCACAGAAAATACAGGGTATACAGAGGGAAAGTTCACACCACCACCACAAGGAAACAAGCAGGCTATCCAAAACGTGGAGTGTTTCTTTTTAATATGGAGTTGTTTTTTTGTAGTTTCTTTTTTAAAATTTTATTTTATTGTTTAAAGTATTACAAATAGTAGTACATGTCTCCTTTTTCCTCCATTGACCTTCCCCCAGCCTCCCCCACCCCCCAGTGTCTTGCATCCATTGATTATACTTACATGCATGTATACAAGTCCTTTGATCTCTTACCTCCCCCAACCCACTTCTCCCCAGGCTTCCCACTGTAATTTGAAAGTCTGTTTGATGCTTCTCTGCCTCTGTATCTATCTTTTTGTTCATCAGGTTATAATGTTCATTATTATCCATAAGTGAGTGAGGTCATGTGGACTTTTTCTTTCACTGACTGGCAATTTCACTTAGCATAATGCTCTCCAGTTCCATCCATGATGCTGCAAATGGTAAGAATTCCTTATTTTTTTTATAGCAGCATAGTATTCCATTGTTTAGATGTATCATAGTTTTCTTTTTCTTTTTTTCTTTTTTTTTGTACCATAGTTTTCTAATCCACTCATCTGCTGATGGGCATTTAGGCTGTTTCCAAATCTTAACTATTATAAATTGCGCTGCTATGAACATAAAGGTGCATATATCCTTTCTGAATGGTTTTTCTGTTTTCTTGGGATATATTCCTAGAAGTGGTATTACTAGGTCAAATGGCAATTTTATTTTTAAATTTTTGGGGAAACACCATACTGTTTTCCACAATGGCTGCACCAGTCTACATTCCCATCAACAGTGAAAGAGGGTTCTTTTTTCTCCACATCCTCTCCAGCACTTGTTTGTTGATTTATAGATGATAGCTGTTCTGACAGGTATGAGAAGGTACCTCATTGTTGTTTTGATTTGCATCTCTTGGATGATTAGTGACTTAGAGCATTTTTTCATATGTCTCGTGGCTTTCTAAATGTCCTTTCAAAAAGTTGAATTGTTTATCTTCCTTTTGTTAAATTGTATGAGTTCCCTGTAAATGTTGATTAAATCCTTATTGGAGATAACATTGGCAAATATGTTCTCCTATACAGTGGGCTTTCTTGCTGTTTTGTTGGTTTCTTTTGCTGTGCAAAAGCTTTTTATTTTGATATAGTCTCATTTATTTTTTCCTTAGATTATCTCGCCCTAGGATCTGTGTCTGTAAAGACATTGCTATGACATACATCTATACTTTTGCTATCTATGGAGTCTTGTAGCATTTTTATGGTTTCCCTTCTTACATTCAAGTATTTTAGCCATTTTGAGTTTGTTTTTGTGCATGGGATAAGTTAGTGATCTAGTTTCTTTCTTTTTTTTCTTTTTTGCATGTATCTGACCAAATTTCCTAGAACCATTTATTAAAGAAACTGTTTTGACTCCATTGTATGCTCTTACCTCCTTTGTCAAATATTAATTGAATATAATGGCTTGGGTCAATTTCTGGGTTCTCTGTTCTGTTCCATTGGTCTGTATGTTTGTTCTTAAGCCAGTACAGGCAGTTTTGAGAATCGTGGCTTGGTAATATAGCTTGATATCTGGTATTGTGAATCCTCCAACTTTGTTCGTCTTTCTCAGAATAGCTGTGGCTATTCAGGGTCTTTTTTTATTCCAGATGAATTTTTGGAGCATTTGTTCTAAATCTTTGAAATAAACTATTGGCATTTTAATAGGTATTGCATTGAATCTATAGATTGCTTTAGGTAGTATGGACCTAATGATGTTGATTCTCCCAATCTATGAACATGGTATGTTCTTCCATTTGTTTATGCCTTCCTCTATCTCCTTTTTCAATGTTCTGAAATTTTCTGAGTACAGATCTTTTAAATCCTTACTTAAGTTTATTCCTAGATATCTTTTTTTTTTAATGTTTTATTGATTTTTTACAGAGAAGAGAGATAGCTAGAAATGTCAATGAGAGAGAAACATTGACCAGCTGCCTCTTGCACACCCCCGACTGGGGATGTGCCCGCAACCAACGTACATGCCCCTGACCAGAATCGAACCTGGGACCCTTCAGTCTGCAGACCGACGCTCTACCACTGAGCCAAACTGGTTTCGGCTATTCCTAGATATCATAATTTTATTTGTGTGTGTGTGCGCACGTGCGCACACGCGTGCAATGGTAAATGGGATTTTTTTCATTTCTCTTTCTGTGAGTTCATTAGTGGTATATAAAAAGGCCATTGACTTTTGGGTGTTAATTTTGTATCCTGCTACATTGTTAAATTCATTTATTAGGTCTGTTTTTTGGTGGAGTCTTCGTGGTTTTCTATGTATAGTATCATATCATCTACAAATACAGTTTTACTTCTTTTCCAACTTGGATGCCTTTTATTTTTTCTTCTTGTCTGATCGCTATGGCTAGTACTTCTAGTACCGTGTCAAACAAGAGTAGTGACAGTGGGCATCCTTATCTTGTTCCTGTTCTTAGGGGAAATGGTTTTAGTTTTTGCCCATTGAGTATGATGTTGGCTGTAGGTTTGCCATATACGGTTTTTACTATGGTGAGGTATGATCCCTCTGTTCCCACTGTGCTGAGAATTTTTATCAAGAAAGGGTATTGGACTTTGTCATATGCTTTTTCCGCATCAATTGATATGATTATGTGATTTTTGTCTCTCAGTTTATGTGATCTAACACATTTATTTTTTTTAGTAAGTTTTTATTGTTCATATTATTACAAATGTTCCTTCTCCGCCCCCCCCCCACCATTGCTCTCCTCCACCAGGTTCCCACCCCACCCTCTGCCCTTTCCCCACTCCCCATTGTCCTCATCCATAGGTGCACAGTTTATGTTCAGTCTCTTCCCATGCCCCCCTCTCCCCTTTTCCCCAAGAATCGTCAGTTCACTCCCCTTCCATACCTCTGATTCTATTATATTCAACAGTTACTATTGTTCATCAGATTTTTTTAATTTCCTTGGTTTTGAGATTCACTTGTTGATAGTTACGTATTTGTTGTTCATAATTTTTATCTTTGTTTACTTTCTCTTCAGAAAGAACCCCCTTCAGCAATTCATATAATTCTGGTTTGACGGTGATGAATTCCTTTAGCTTTTTTTTATTAGTGAAGCTCTTTATCTGACCTTCAATTCTGAGTGATAGCTTTGCTGGGTAGATTATTTTTGGCTGTAGGTTCTTGCTATTCATCACCTTGAATATTTCTTGCCAT